GAGTCCTGCTATGTCATGCAGCTTGGTCACAAAATCAGCATGGAGGGGAAGCAGAGACAGAATCTTACATCTAAATAAACTGTATTTTTGGAAAAGTCAGCCTTGGTTTCACAAAATCTTGCTTGTCTGGAAAACACCTTAAGTTTGAAGGAGTTCAAATCTATATAAATCTAGGCTAACTCTCCTGCAGAGGAATGGAGAAAGAAGCACCCACAGGTTAGTCAAGCCTCCCAGAGCCATGGAATCAGGCCTGGGTGCTCCCCAGAGCAATGGAAAAGGATTGGCACTGGAAGTGTCAGGAAAGTTTGGGATACTTCAGGCATTACTGCAGTGACCAAAGGAAATTGAGTGGGGCATGTTCCAGCAGCAACAAAAATCAACAGGAACACATCTGACCCCTAGACTCCCAGTCAGTAACCAAAGCTAATTCCAGAATTTTTAGGTGTTGTTCTAGTTTTCTGTGTATCATGTAAAAACATACCACTTCCAAACAGAATATGTATTGACCTACATACAAAAAAAAATATATCCCTGCCCAATAGAAATGGACCACTAAATCTGAACAAGGATATCTGCATTTTTTAAGTCTTCCCGTTGAACACTGATACAAAGTATATTATAAATCTATATCTAGTATTTAGGTATTTTATTATTGCTATAAAGAACCCTACAGAGATCAGGCTCTGCAAAAACTCATCTTGGGATTTTTAAAAAAGCTAAAAAATATTTTGCAGACTCTCTGCTTACTCCTTAATAATCTTCATCAATGATTTATGGCTTCCATTCTGATCCATTCATCAATTTATTTTGTTTGAATAGCTCTTCTGTAACAGACTTCCTTGACAGCATCTTTTCCTTGGATTCCTTCCAAGTCCTGAATTTTTTTTCCTGTCTCCAAGCTCCTGCTCTCCCATTCAGTCTGCCCTTAGTTCTGTATCCCCACCATGGCCATAAGAGCAGGCTACCTTTTCCAAGCATGTGGGCCTTAGTGTGGAGTTTCTCACAGTACCCTTGTACTCTAACCAAGGAATTCTGGAAATGGTGGTGGCTCTCCTCCACTTTTTCCTGCTTGATCATCTGAACAGGTACAGGGAACCATGCTTCAGCCGACAGCCACTTCTGCAGCCTGCTGTTACCATTTCCTGCTGTTACCAATGGGACAAGGTCAGAGAAAAACCCAAAATGTGAACTCAAAACCAGCTCCCTTTGCTCAGGTATAGTGCTCAGTGTGTCTCTGCCTCATTCTCCCGTTGTACTACAGCCCCAAGGGCTTTTCTTGAGCTTCATGCTCAGTAAATTTGGATGCTTTCAGAACCTGTTGAGCACACCATTTCCCAGAGCACACACAAGGCTTGCTGCCATCTGGCACTTGCTTTCTGTCCCCCATGCACTGATGGCTTTGAAACTTCTGCCAGAAGTGCTGTTCTTTAAAAAAACATTGGCACCAATTCTCTGTAATAACTGGCCAGGCCCAAAAATTGTTCCTGTTTCTTTTGGTTCCTGTGAGACATTCTGCAGGTCCCATGGGCACTGTCTAATGGAAATTTCTGGTATTTGATACTGTCTTTTGCTAGCAGATGCTGAACTGTGCCTGCTGGGGATCTGCCCCCCTAGTGATGCTGTTGCCTGCAGAGGCTTTGCACAGTCTGCCTGTAGGGCACAGATCACAGCAGGACAGACACGAACACAACAGCCCCATGTCACTGAAATGCTGCTGCAGTTTCATGTAAACCAAAGGTTCTTGATTTTAAAGTTTAAAAAAGGCTACTCTTCTCGGACACTTCTGTCACTGTACCTCTCAGTGCTCTTTGATTAGACTTGAGGTGGCTGTCAAAATAACCATTTTGATGGTATTAAACATCGCATTTGGAAATCGGATTTCTTGCCCAGGAATCTGTGTGACTAATTAACAGCCCATCCTCTTGCTACAGGATGTTCTCGGGAGCTAAAGACTGTCAGGCCTTCACTTTGCAATATTCTGTGAATCTTCCTTGACTTGATTCCACAGCTATTTGCATCTTTTCTGTGTGTCATTTTGTGACTTGGGATTTTTTTTTTTTTTGGCTTTTGTGAGAATGGAGTCTGGATATCTTGCATTATTTTGTCCAGCTGAGAAAACTGTTGCAGTTTTATCTGTTCTCTAGCAGCATGGGAATTCTTGATTTATTATTAGTCATCTATCCTAATTCAGGCACCTATTCGGGTGCTACTTCTGTCACGATTTCCTGCATTTTCCAGTCTTTGATGTGCCTAAATAATAAATCTTTTTTCATGTTTACAGTTGAATACTAGGACTGTGTCATTACTACTTGGACTGTGTCAGTATATTGTCATAGAATGTAGGAACTTGGACCCTGATTCTGATGATAACACCAGGACTTTGTCATTGGATGGGACTCTGCATCCTTGGCACACAAGTACCATCCTTCTCATTTCATCTCTCTGGGTCTGCTTTGGTGATCTGTATGTCCTTATTCTGTCACATTTTCAGATGTATTTCCACTGGATTTTTTTGTTTTTCTGTATCTTAACCCTGTAGACAACACTCCAAAGCATTCTGAGTGCTAGAAAAGCATTCTTTTTTTCCAAGAGGGTATCTTACACAGGTTGTCAGAAGACTAATGGTTAGTTTGTAACTAGGGAAGGTCTTGCAGAGTTTGAAAAACAAGTTTGGAAAAAGTTATTAAGATAATTCCAGTTGCTGACAGCATCATCTGTTTAAATTTTTGCCCCACTTTCATCCACCTTCCACCCCACTGTTTGTGATGATTCATATTTCTTCACTTTCTATGCCAAAAATAGAACACAGTTTGCTACAGCCTTTGGGACACACAGCACATGTAAATGTCATATCTTTTAGTAGTTTACTTTGAATTAAAATACAATAGGAGCAAATGATAAAGCTGATCAGCAAGTTTTCCATGATTTCTAATGCAAAATTTCCTGATCTCAACGTGGGAGTTTGCATGAGAGTCAGGAAAAAAAGAACCAATCGGTTTTTCCAATGTTGTCTTCAACAAATGCAGGCTGTGGAATATAATGACAAGGTCTTTTTGCATAGGGACATAAAAATGATAAAATAATAGAGGAGTTTTATACAAAATCTATTAAACTGGAACTGCCAGTAACACTTTTATTAACTGTTTTAAACAAAGATATTATAGTAGGTTATATTCACACACATAAACACACTCACACATATGCATGCCCACACACACAAATGCAATTTGTCAAAATATTAAACTAAACCTGAAGGTAATATTCTCACTTGCTGACATACTGTTGAAAATCTCTGTCACTCGAGTGTCTTGAACTGATCCCATTCTAAACAGCCCTGAATGGAATATTAACATCATTTTCTGCCTTACCCTTTTAACACTTATTTTCAATAAGATTAAACTGGTTAGAACATCCCTCCTTTATGCAAGTTAATGACCCAGGAATAAGCAAGGAAATAAACCTGCATGTAAGTGACAAGCAGAAAATGCACTTGGAAATTTCAATATACACTTTGTGTGGAAAATGGAGGTGGCTTGTCCTTCTTTTCTGAAACTGTCAGAGAAGTAAAGAATATAAACATTCATCTTATTTCAGTGATGTTTCTGGACAGTTGATTTCATCACTAACTGGAAGCATCAGTTAGCAAAACACTGCAGCACTGATCACTGTGTAAAACTGCCTAAGTGTGTAGGAAAGGACCAGAACAGCACCTTAAAAACAGCAGGCATTTGCAGGGGTCTTTGGAAGCACTTGGACAACTATTGGGAGAAATGCAAAATTTCTCCACGCAGTCTGTCCTCTACTTTTCTAACCAGAAGTGGTATAATTGTTATGCTTCTTTTCTTCATTTGCCATTTTCTCTTCTGCTGCCGATTGCCCTTACCCTCATCCAAGGACTCCTCAGTGACTAAACATTTTGAGCAGAGTGGTGAAAGGGTTAAGTTGCACCATTAGGTGTCAGAGGAAGGACTGATAAGAGTTCAACAACCCTCCCCCTGCATGGGCTCCAGAGCACAGCTCCCAGCTGAGTCCTGTGACTTGGAACAGCAGAGGCAGGAACTGCTCGCCTGCTAAACACAAAGAACTGCAGCAGTGACCTGGCGTGCACCAGTCTTTGAGGAGCCTGAATACAAAAAGATTCTCACTTTCTTATAGACTGTTCCAAGAAGAACAGAACTAAAAAGAAAATCAGACATATGCATTGCATTTCAGGTCCTATTACGTGCTGCTTCTCTATTGGTGTTCTGCAGCCCCACATGTAGGGACTGGGTAGCACTCTTTAGGCAGGGTGGTGACAGCAGTATAGCAGGAGAATAACAAAAAAAGAAAAACAAGTTTGGATGCAGGACATGTGCTCCCACTGACAGAAACGTGGAGCAGGCTACAGCAGATCACTACAGCAGTTTTGTGAACCACTTTCCAAAGCAGAGCTAGTGCTGGATGTTGCAGGCTGGGATACCCAAGCAGGACTCAAAGCTGTACAATCCCTCTGCTGTCCGTAATTCTTTAGCTTAGCTGTGGTTTCTCTGATGTTCTCTCTGTAGGAAATGAAGAATTATTTTACCCTCTTGTCTAGCAGCAACATGATGCAGTTTTCCATCATGTGCAAAGACTTGTAGCGTACTGTGTGCTAAGTGCTGGCTGTCAGATTCCCTGTGGCTTTAATGCTCTCCACACCTCTGTTAAAGGCAATTGCACAATCCCTGTATTTTCAGATACTTTTTCAGCAATTCAGAAACCTCACTAGTTAATTCTTTAGATCTTTCTGCTATAAAGGTGACACTTAGATTGCTCACTTCTAGCTTCTCATTTGTCTGACTTTATTCTGCTGGTTTCTTACATTTGGCAGCAGCCAGAACAAATGCACATTTTAGAGACAAAAGCTTTCACTACTGGAAAAACATCCTCTGTATCTCCTTATTGCCATTTTCCTTACCTTGGATCCATTAACATCTGTTGCCAGAAATCACAGAGATGAGTTTATGTACCAGATCTTCTGGCCTCTGTGTTCTCTCATGTGCAGAGCAAGGACAGAATTTATTTTTAACTTGGCTACCTTTCGTCCTCGTGAACTCCTCCCTACCTTACAGTCAGCAGCATCTGCTGTTAGAAGCCATGAACATTATCCAGCTGGGGTGTCTTCCCAAAGTTCCCTCTGGCTCTGTGGATCAGGGCTGTGTAAGTCTTACTTTTGTTACTTTCTCTGTTAGTGTTTGAAAAGAAAGTCAAAATACCTTCCTTATTTCCCAGCTGCTCATGACCCTATGTCTTGGCATTACTCCTTGGAGCAATTACTTGAACTCTTTTACTTCATGCTCATCCCAGTCTTGTGGATGTGCAATACCTTAGAGATGCCTTTTGAAATTTTTCCTTCCTTTGAAGACATTTAAAGATAATGAAATCTTTGAAATCTTTCCTTTGTTTTTTTTCCTCTTAGCAAGTAAGTGATATCGGTGATATCAGAGCAATGTCTGCTTTCTGACATTTCCTGATTCTGAAATTTAGAGAATTTATGTTTAAGGGAATTTATTTAAAAAATTGTGCTGTTGTTCTGACATTGTTTGCAATTACTTTTGGTTGGTTTTTTTTCCTGAACTTACAGTAAACCCAATTTCAAGGGTCAACTTCTATTTAAAAAGCCTCCTACTGTTGTTAATATTTTAACCACTGTGCTAACCAATGTACCCTGACTCTGAAATAAGATCTGATAAACTTCCACCTATGGGTGATCCTCACAATGATCAAATAAATGAGAACAAACACCACAAGATTAGAACTGGAGAGAGATTTAGATACTGTGTGCATCAATGAGGAGAAGAAGGAAAGAAGGAAAGGCACAAAAGGATAAATCAACAGTTTACAAGGATCCTGTCAGACATAATGCCTTGACAAGTCACGTCCTTGTCACAAGACAACAGTGAGGAGTGCCAGTGTGGCAGATGAAAGACACCTCTGTTTTGTCATTTTCTTGTGGAAAACTTACAGAATGGCTGTTTTTGTACCAGGAACAATTGGTAACGATATTCTCAAGTCCAGTTTTCCAAGATCATATCCATTTAGATAGAGATTAATGAGATTTCTTCAGATCTGCATTGCCATCTTTGAACGAAATGGCAATATGGGTGTTCTTTGCTTTCTTCAGAGCATTCACACCAATGTAGGTGCATTTTAATCAGATTTGAGACAATGAGATTGAGAGAAGAACCAGAGCCAAGCCTTAAACTGGCAACAACAACGAGGAAGGAGTATAGATTTTGAAGGAGTTTATATAGATCTTTAATATGAGGAAAGCTTGCAAAAGAGTTTTCTAACCCGATGCATGCAAATTTTCCCAAAGTATCCTAGACATGTGTTAACAAACCTTTGGCTACCACAATAGGCTTCTGTGGATTTGGAAACCAGTAGGAAAAGCTGATCTGATTAAACTGTCTAACACATAGTGTTTATTGGTGAGTTTTACAAACTCAGTTAAGACTCACAGCCTTTCAAACCTCTCCATGCAGCAGAAACAGCTGCATTCCCAACCCACTTAAGCTGGGTTTTTTTGTTAGACTTTTACCACCTGATGTGCACAGTAACCCAATGACTACCTCAGTGGAAATGGGAGACACAGAAAAATGGGAAAGGTGCCAAAGATACTGGAGAGGGCAGGGCTGAGCAAAAATCAATTTTGCATTGGAGTAAGGAGAAGACACACTATGTGATAATATGTGATGGGAAGGAGGCACAGGGATTGGTGAGGAGATGAGTTTGTAGCCAGGGAGTCAGGGGGTATGGAGCAGGAGAGATGAAAAGTAAGATCTAGAGCTAGAATTGAAAATGAGGTTGATTGTTAAAAATGTGGAGCTAAATCAGGCTCAAATAGCTCTCAAAAACCTGCTTGCTAGTAAAGCCTACGTGGTGTTCTGCTCCTTTGTTTTACTATTCTTTCCCAATGAGTAACTGGTCCTAAAACCTGATAAGCCTGATCCCACATGTAATTGCATTATATCCCACCCATTCTTCCTGTCACCATTCAAATGTTTCCCTAAGCTGAGTCCAGCTCCCATCAGCTCCTCTCCTTGGCCCATCTGCTTTGTTTCCCTGGACTAACATCAGTGGTATCCCAAGCCTCTAGAGATATGCCGTGCTTTGCTGTTGTTCACAAGTTGCATTAAAACAGATTCAAGCACAGAAAACAGCCAAATAGCATGGTATTATACTATCTGACAGGAGAAAACCAGCATAGGACAAGCAGGATCAGCTTTAAATATTTCAGATAAACAGTAAAATATAAGCTAATCTGGTTCTCATGCTAGAATGCCTCTCTCACATATTTACTCCTGCACTCCTAGTTTTATCACAAACCCTCAATATAATGTAACTTCTACTTAAAGCAGCAGGATGATGTAGAAGTGGACAGCCTCATTAGTTTTTAGAAGCAACTCATGATTCTATAAACTTTTGGCCTCCAGTTGCAGAAGACTGAATTTCATGATCCAGCAGTGTTCGTTCAAGTCTGTTTTCCCCATCCATTATTCATCCTACTCCTGCCTCTGGTGAGTCACTAGCACATTTGATTCAGTAATTTGTTTAAAAGAAACACCAGAGAGTTAACATACAAAAGAAGCCATGAAATGGTGCTGCAGTGCAACTTTTCCAAGGTAAAGGCTGCTTGGGAAATACAGAGTGAGCTGATGTTGAAATCAGGATAACACACAGATGAACAAAGTCTGACACCCTCGCTGGATGAGTTTGTGCATGCAGTGTGAGATTAAATGTCTGGCAAGGAAGAACACTGAATTGCTATCTATGATTCTTAAACCTAATATTTAAGCTTCAGAGTATCCTCTTAAATCTAAAGTCTAAATGAAATTAAGTCCTACTCCCAAATAGAAGGAAAAAAAAGAAAACTCTAAGTCAAGGAGACAGCAGAAAAGTAATTCTTTTACAGAGTTAATATCTGAATCTTATAATCATGCTTACCATTAGATTAAATAGAAGTTGCTCCTTATATATCAATACAGGTATACATGGCTGAATTTCCTATTGGGACTCTAATATCAAAAGAAAATCAGATCCTGCCTGGACACCTGATTTTCCATGCTTTCCAGCAATATCATTCCTGCCTTTTCTCTAGTAGAGAAAGACCTAACCATTTGAGAACAAAACATATCCTGCAAAACAAGAAAGTGCCTTTGCATTTAATAGCATCCAGTAGGAATGATTGAATCTGATTTGGTAATCCATCCAATTCAAGGTTGTTTGAACAGCCACACCAGGCAAGGGGGGAGCAGCATGGGAGAATGATTAACTTAATCCTCCTGCCTTATTTGTTTGATGCTGCCTCACTCCAGTGCAAGTCAATAAAACTTTGAGCACCGACACACACAACTTCCAGCACCCTCCAAGCTGGCCCAAAATGGGGATTAGCAAAGCTGCCTTTCTCCTTCTGTTCTTTCTCAGCTCAGGTAAGAGTTCTTTGCCTTCTGCTTGCCTAGGTAAGGCTGGGGTCAGACACTTGCAAGCTCCATGTGATGAAGGTAGGTTCCCAAATCCCTGTGTCACAACTCCCCTGGATGCTGATGGATTTGGGGCTTGCTGGGCAGCAAGAGCTGCTGCTGAGCAGAGTGAGAGCTGTCATTGCTGCAGGGTTGTGTTCCTTGGAGATACCAGAAAAGGAGCTGCCTTGGTGTCTGCATGGGCAGCTAATGGCTCCCAGCAAATGTTTCCCATGGCCAGAGACAGGGGCACCCTTGGGAAGCAGCCTGTCAAAGGCTTGTGCAAAGGCATGGCTCTCTCCGGTTTCAGCAGCCTTTCAGCTTAGGTTTGGGTATTTTTTTTTATTATTTCCAGCCACTGTGATCCTTATTCTGATTGCTCTAAAGTTTGTTAATGCTTGTGCAAAACAGAATGATACAGGAGAGGAAAGCTTGTTCTATACACTGCAGTTTCAGTCTTTTTCATAACTACATTCTTAGCAGTGAATTTTTCATTCCATGTGATAGGGAGACCAAATCTGATCACTGTTAGGTTCTGCAATATTTTTGGTACAAAAAGATATTTTTTGTGGGAGTTGATACAAAAATTTTGGAACACAAAAGAACTGAATTGGGTTCTTTAGATATATTTCTATGGGTTTCATACATATGAATGTTCTCTGTCCTGAAAACCTTAAATTCCAGTGAACTGTGAGATTCAGACCACACAGCTTCTTGCGGGCATCTGTACAACCACACTATATGTTATGATTGTAGTAAAAAATAGAGTTATGTGTGCTAATGCATATATAAAGGTACATTAAAATAAACAAACATTTTACATGTGCAGTTTTAAAACATAAGAAAAAGTAACAGTTAGGAAAATAGATGAGTAGATTTTAGCTGGAAATATTAGAGAGGTGCCCCAACATAAAAAAAAAATCTGTTATTTAATGCTAAGAATTTTTATCTTAGTTTAAATTCTAGTTTCTAAACTAGATTTCTAGTTTGTTTTTGTAAAAGAACAGCCTCTGTAAAATCAAATGCCTTCCTCAGTTAAATAGGAATTTTATGTGAGGGAGAAAAAGATTCTATTAGGGCTTTTATCTGAAATATGTTGCTTTTGTTTGCAAATTATTTATAAAATGGTATTAAATATTTGCATTTCTGAATAAGATAGTGATACATCTTTCTGAGACTGTAAAACATCATAGATATACGGAAAATTATAAGATGAAAATTTACTGGTTTTTTATTGATTGCACATTTTCATTTTTATTTTCCTACAAGTAATGCCCTTCTATGTAAATATAACAGAAAAGGGGAAAAATATGTTTATTATGCAAATCAATTATGACCCTGTCAATATTTCTAAAATAAAATGTTGTATTAATAATGACAATATTTTTGCAAAATGTCAAAACAGAACAGAATTAAGTTTGCATGGAAGCTGTACCATAATAGGAATTCTTTACTTGTTTTTCTTTTTCTTCTGGAGAGCATTGCAGCATCCCTATGATATTGTCTTAACCTAGTTCAATGTTTTGTCTCAAAACTCATTTCTTCTCAATGTTTTTGTTTTGAAATAACTAGTAGAATTGTCATTGGACTCTTTTCACTTATTCTTTTGTTTTCCAGCAGCTATCCTTTTCTTCCATGTATACTCTTAAAGTAACTGCCAACCCTTCAGGACGAGCTCTTCCCAGGGGTTTTTAAATGGAAAAAATGTCTGCAGTAACTTCTATGCTTTTGCAGTTGTGTGAGAGGAAGCATAATTTGGCTTTTATCCCTATTTTACCAGCTTCAATGCAAAATGATCTTTAAGAAAATACCCAGTTGCAGGCTAAGCTATGTCTCAGGTGAAGGAGTTTAACAGCAGGACACTTATGGACCTGCTTCACAGTAAAGAGTGTTACTTGGGAAAGGGAGGAGCTGTTGCCTTTCCCAGCTGGAAAGGCATCACTAAACAACCCAGTGGAGCCCCTTCTCATGGACCATGGGTCTGAGTGGGACAAGGAGGCTTTTTGTCCCTCCTGCTGGCATTGGGCCATGGCTGAGGCACACAGGGGTCAGAGAAAGTGAAGAAGTTCCTCTCTGCAGCATGGCTGTTATTCCTGAGGTTGCAGTCATGGTCTGGTTCATCCCATGTCTGCCTTTTATTCAGCAATTGTGTAAGGCCAGGCACAAAAGCACAGAGCAGGAATGAGATGTCCTGCAGTGACCAGGGGCCAGGGTGTCTGTTTGGGGTTGAAACCCTACAGAACAGATAATCCCTGTTCAGGGCCAAATGTTTGTCAGAAGAGTCATATGCTCCACTGATAAAGAAACTGTAAAAATCATAGAACTCATGCAACTCCATGACCCTGCAGCTGGAAGTCATGTAAGTCACTGTGCTATGCACTAATTCTGAGACTGCAGAGCTGTAACAGGAAAATACTAAATTCCAAAGTCCTTTACAAGGAGGACCGTTCTGGAACACTTTTTGAGTTCACCATTAAACATAGATGTACTTTTTAGTATCCTGTATATTTGACATGCAACTGTAGCCCAGAGGTTGTTAGGTGAATTTATTTACCTGTTTAGTGTCTTGTCTTAATTCATTGCAATGGAGGGCAACAGCTGCTACCTTTATTATTAAGTAAGTTCAGTACAGGGTTATTATGAAAATTACAAACTGAATATCTGACAACCCCAGTGACTGAGGGTGGTTTGTTTCTTTTTAGAGTAGGAACCTTTGAAAGGAGGTGACTGGTAAGTCTGAAGTCATTCCATGTGGATAGATGGACAGCAATGGACAATCCACATCTTTCTTGAGCTTTGTCCATTTCTCTGCTTTGTCCAAAGTTTGCATATTTTCTTTCTCAAACACCTCACTTTTTTTGCTCCTTGGGTCATCCACTCTGCTCCCATTACTTTATACCATAGGTTTGTGCTATCACTGTTCAAGCTTTTTTCTGTCCTGCCTTACACTGGGCTTTCAGTGATGCTGCCTTTTGCCATTCCAGGAAAGCATTTTAGATTTATCCATATTTTGTCACCATTATTTTGTCACCAACTATTCCAGTAATTAAATGATGATGTCACATGACTAGATTACAAAGAATTTAACATGAGAGTTTGAAATAAATCAAAACATCATTCCCATTTTCACTCCTTTCTCTTTTTTTCCTTTTAGTTCAAGGAAGCATTCTAGACCGCTATGTGAAAACAGAGGGAGCTTGGTTGCTCAACCCAATGAAGCAAGTTTATAGAGCAAACAGTGATGAAGAATGTGCAGAGAAATGTGAAAATGAAGAAAAGTTTGCCTGCAGGTAATTTCCACTGGTTTCCACATATATCTTTCATTGCAGGTGATGGAACAATATGCCTGAACTTTTAAGGGTTTCCTTATGACTATGTGGGGGTTTGAGGTTTGCTGGAAAAACAAAAAAATGTGCACAAACAGAATGCCTGGGACATGTAGATGAAGACAAAAAAAAATAGAGAAATTAAGAAAGTTATGTTGAATTTTTATTGAAAAACATTATGATATCTTGATGCACAGCTTGACATGCTGCAAACCAACTTGACATAGTTTTATCAAGACTCTTGCACTCCTTCTGCAACAAGGAGTCATTAATTTATTGGAAATTTAGGTCAGCAATAATAGCATTGCTTATTTTCATTGCATTGCCTATCATGCAGATAAATCCATTATTCAGAATTTTACTAGAATTTGGACCTAGGTAACTTCTATTTACTTTGAGAAGGAGATGGCCACCTAAACCTTAATGATTCTAAACCCTTCTTTCAGCCAAATCCTCCTGCTGCACTTGCATTAACCAGGCTCAAGGGGCTAGAAAAGTGTTGATGAACCTGTGTTGTTGGTCTTTGCTCAGGTTTCTGCCCCACTGGAGCCCATTGCTCTGAGCCTCAGGCTTCTGGATCGCCTGTGCCAAAGCTTTGCAGCCCGTTGAGCTCCAGCAGTACAGCAGGAAACTGGGGCAGTGAGGAGAGGTGTCCATCTCTGCAGTGGGAAGCAGTCTGCACAGAGGGGGCAGAGGGGTTGTCCCTTCCAGTGTACACTTCTGCAGCACTTCTGCAGTGTACCACTTTCTGAACTCGGCAGAGTGATTGCCTGCAGTGCTGTTTCAAGCACTTGGTTCTACTTAATGCTTTTATTCTAGGCAGGGATACAATGCTGCTGACTTCATAAATGTGTTTGGTAAATGTGTGTTTTAACTTAAATGAGACAATGAGACTTTTTTAAAAAAGGTGTAACCCTGAAGGATGACAGAGGTCTGCTGACTGTATGAAATACCACCAATTCCCCTTGATCCAGCTTCACTCTGAAAACCACGAAGAGGGCAGAGCTGCAGTAGCACATGGTTCAGGAGAGTAGGGAGGAAAGCAGAGAGGGCAAGTCTGTATATTCAGATTTATTTACAGTTTTCAGGGAATGAATGTTCCCTTTTGAGGCATATTCAGACACAGTATCATTCCCCAGCTTCTGCCCCAGGGTCTAAACCTGCCGTCACTTGGCACTGGAATGACATCAAGTTAATGCCTCCTTAATTAATTACGTGAGATCTATTACAATCAAGCAAGAACAGGTGCTGTCTGGCAGGAAGGATTTGAGGGAAGAAAGATAAATGTTAGAGCTTAAGACCAGGCCAGCACTGCAGCATCCTCACATTAATGCTTCAGACCAATCTGTTCAGATCAATACTCCAGACTTATTATCCCACCTTAGAGGTGGATTGGGCCGTGCTCCTTAGTTACTTTCCTACTTAGAAATTTAACATTACTGAGAGCTTAATTGGCTTAATTGGGCATAACATGTTTCTTGTTACCCTGAAGGCCATGCTGCTATTGCTCTTTTCTTTTTGGTCCCGAAAAGCAAGCTGTAGGAACTATTTAGCCTGTCAAAAGGTTTCCTTAGATGCTGTTCTAGAGGCTACACCTTCTGCTTCAGTTTCGCAGTTTACAGCCTAGGCAGCCTTGCTGAAAAGACAAAAGGCTATGACTTACAAAGTGTTTACTCTCAGTAGAGTTACTACAAAATAATTTAAGATCCTGGACTGTGTTTGACTCCTTGAATGAAAATGAATATTTTCAAAATAAGGTGCCTTGTGTATATATCCCCTTCAACATGGTCTCTTGAACCTCTGGCAAGTTGTAAATCCCTTGTTATAATTTCTCCTTGTAGCTCCCTTTCAGCCTAGGTTTTTTATGAACACTTAGAAGTGAAAATCACCACTGAAAATGTGAGCTGCAATACTCAGTGATTTGAAAACATTTCGCAGTCTTAAATATCACTGAACTGTAGTGTTTGATAAAATGGCAACGGAATACTCAAAAATGTTTTCAGGAAAATAAGCATATATTCAGTACTGTTTCTTACATTGCTCTCTCCTCTTAAATTTGACAGGGCCTTCTTGTTTACCAGTAAAGACCAACAGTGTTTAACATTGACAGAGAACACCAAAACAGCAATGATATTCAGAAGAGCAAATGCAGTTCTTTACGAAAAAAGAAGTATGTTTATATCTTTTTTGTATTATTGGACTGTGGTTCAGATAAAAATTATCTATTTTTATAGTATTTGTATATTGTTGTATGATGTTTGTACTCTTCAGTTAATTAATTTGGTGGCATTTTTATCCCATTCTTATTTTTATGATGTAATTAATTGATGTGGTGAATTTTTGTGTTCTGTTTTTTACATGTTTTGTGATTATTTTTGTCATACATGAGGATTATTTGATAGAAATGCTCTCTAATTCTTTCTGAAAATAAGAAGTGTGTCTCTGAGGAATGGCAGGTATCCAATTTTTTATCCCATTTCAAAAATTATCACCTTATGCCAGATGCAAGGAAACAATTGGGTTTTAAGACTATTTTTGACTTACATTATCGAGCATGGAGCTCTTGCTGTATACAGGGAAGAAGGAATGTGGTTTATTTTTAATGTAACATAAATTTCATTGTGCTGTTCCCTGACTTTAGTAATACATAAGGAAGAAAAGATCTCCTTAGGGATCATTCAGATATAAGTTAATGTGGTAAACTCTGAATAGAATTACTTCTGTTCTGTGTTAAATGACACAGAACATTGTGTTCAACCATTTGCTGATTTGTAATTTGAAAAAATACTAATACATTTGAAAATATTCAGAAATTGGAAACTATATTATCTCAAAACTTTGGTCTCCTTCAACAAAGAAAGGTGCATCAAAATCTAAAATGAGCCAGTTTCTCAGCTGCTGAAAATCATGGAGTGGTTTTGATGGGCCAGTTTCTAAGCAAAAGGCAAGAATCTCAATAACTTGACAGTAAATACCCATGAGCTCCAGAGAAATTAACCTTTACTTCTCTGTTGACCTTGGTGGTTCATTCTTCCCTGTGGGCTAAGACAATGCTGTTTGTATAGCAACTGCAAGGAGATGTTAGATAGTAGTTCAACAGCTTTAGCTGGATTGCAGCTGAACAGCCAAAAGAGATTTTGTTCAGGCACTGTGGATAAGTGCCTGATAAGGAAGATAAGGAGGTAATTTTTCACAGAAAGGTGTGTAAGTACTGGGCCACATTGCCCAGAGAGGCTGTGGAGCCTTTACCCTTGCAGATATTGGCTGGACACAGCTCTAGGCAGTCTCACTCACCTTAGAACCTGAATGTGCTATTTCTGGGGCTATGGACCAAAGACAACTGAGGGTCCTTTTCAACCTAATATTTTCTGAAGCCTTTGTTCAACTGCATTTTTTCTGTAGGTAATTTAATGTTTAGAACATTAGTTTTTTCATTATACACAGAAGCAGGTGGGAATTTCTATAAATCACAATTAAGTAATGCTAATAAATCTTCTGCAGTTCTTATTTAGAAGGAAAACTGAGTGGATCAATTAGCAAGTAACAAAGCTAAAAGACTGAATGAGCAAGTTATGTGTAAATAATCATATTGGTTTTTCTTATTGTGATCAGGAGCTAGATTCTGATTTTGGTTTATTTTTGAGGCATCCCTTGGATTTACTGAAGTTAGAACCTGGTACTGCAATACTAATTGGGGATTTGTTACTACATGTTTTGGGGCCATAGACATGTGTTTTAGTTTCTTGAAATAACAGAAACAAACCACTAAAAGTGTGAAAAACTGTTGTTTGACAAAACTAAAATTTCCGAAAATAGCACCTCTGTCTGCAGAAACCAAAAGATGGACCTTGGTATCATAAACATCAAAACCAGTACCTACTGTGTATATGTCAGATGGTGTCTGTGTTGCTCATCTTTGTATTTGCAGTAATTTTTTCAGTCTAAGCAATTACTTGATGAGACCTGGTTGCTATTTGTCATTGCGTTCAACAAAAAGGATGACAATTACTATAAAACTGACAGTTTCAGAAGTTATTTTTTCTACGGTATGCGCTATAAAAGAGAAAGTTAATCTTCTCTGACTTACAATAAAAAGTAGCAAGAAATAAAGCTGCATTTAGGAATTGTTACCTATATATCTGTTTGGAAATAGTTAACCCAAGGGACGTGGGTTGAGTTTGGGGATCAAAGTTAGTAATTTGTCATCAGAAAGGAAAAGCCCTAAAGGTTATATAAACGGTCAAAAGTTTACACAAACAAGAAGAGTCAGCACTTGACTGATTCAATGTTCAGTGATTGAGGGGTTTAATGTTATTTTATTGCAAAATTGTTTGAGAGATCCAAATGGCTTCCAGCTAAAGTTTCTAGAGTAAACTTGCCTCTATATATACATTTAAATAAAAGCATTCCTAAGGGTGCATCTATAAATTCAGGTCTAAAATATCAGCCCTCAGAAAAGCTGAACCATATTTTGGAATCAAATATTACTTCTTTTCACTGTGGGCAAGACAGGTCTGTGTAAAATGGCATTGTTTCTCAAGATTTCTGTTAATCTTCTGCTTGTATGTCAGCTTTGTTACAACTTTGATGCTGAGAAAAACTGTTGCAAAACTCGGTCTCTACTGAGTATTCAGTTTAGACACTACTTAAAAGACACTGAGACAAACCACATCACAACCTAAAATACAGATTGCTTCCCCAGGGAAATGGCAAATGAGTTTCCTACTTAGATTTCTGGGCCAGAGGACACGTTGCCTAACAGTGACTGTCCCTAAACTGCAGCTGTCTTGTCTTCAGCTGAATTTGGGTGACCGTCTTTAAAGATTTGGTTTTAATTACTGTGCATACTTATAATAATCTCATAGGAGGTAAGAAAAAGAGAAAGTGTTTTTATTTTATAGTATCTATTTAATTGTTTAAAGCATATTTTATTATTTATTCTCAAAATAACTGGGTTGTGTTACACTTATTTCTCTGGAATTCTGGTGTAGAACTTCTTTTGCTTTCACATGCATTTTTCAGTCCCGATGAAGTCAAATTAGACATCAGCTATCTAGCAGGTTTTTACAATGTACAATGTCTAATTTTGAGAACATAAGCAAGTGAAAATATGATCAAACATATTTAAGTGTGCTGGCATGAAAATGGATTTTGTGTATGTTAAAATCCAGTGGATAGGCCATGATACTGATTAAGCACATATCATTTCAGTTTATCTTCTAGAATGCAAGGAGGGAAAAGGAGTGGATTACAGAGGAACAGAAGCCAAAACTCAGAAGGGTGTGAAATGCCAAAAGTGGGCTGATAATGCCCCACATAAACCAAAGTAAGGTCTTTTCGTATCTGTTTATATGTTTTTCTGAAATTTTGTAAAGCCATACATATGTGCTACTTTGTCTTGTAAGAAATTTGTTTTATGTTAGAAAATCTCCTTATAAAATATTTTTCTATACCTATCTATAATAAGACAAACCTCTCGTCTGAGTTGTTACTCAGAGACCTCTAAGTGGTGCTACATGATCAACAGAGACACTGTCAGCCTTGGCAGTCACATTTAAATTTTATGGGTTTCACGTGAGCAAAATACTAGACAGGGAAACATCTGGTTCTGCTGAAATCAGAATTTTTTCAGTAATCTCACCAGAGCAATAACTTCTTCTCTTGGCCAAAGGTATAACGTGGCAGATGAGATAGAGGTGCATAATTTTATCAGTGAATCCACAATTAACAAGGCAGTATTTCTTGTATTTAATAAAAAACACCTGACTGGTGTTTAGAAGCTATAGCTTCTATTTAGAAGCTATAGCATTCATGTTACCGAGGACTCTCACATTTCAGCAAATACAGTTTCATTGCATCTCCCAGGGAACATATCCCAGAGGAAGCTGTTCACTACATGCCACATGGCACCCTGCCTGAGCAATAACTGCTGGAAATCAATAGTGAAAGAAAATGCACTGTATTAAAGGCATAACTGGCCATAGAGGAACTGCAATTCCTGAAGTTTATCATTGTAGCACCTCTAATGCTTCAGCAATGGCACACAGTAACTGTTAGGGGCCCTCTAAAGACCAACATCTACAAAACTGTCCTCAGATAAAGATTTTGTTTTTAGAGCCCTCAGCTGACTAATTGGGACACTCCTTATTCTGTAATCCCATTTAATTCTGTTCCAGTTACACACCTGAAAAATATCCCAAAGCAGGACTGGAGGAAAACTACTGCAGAAATCCTGATGCGGATGAAAAGGGACCCTGGTGTTACACAACAGACCCTGATACCAGATTTGACTACTGTAACATCCCTGAGTGTGAAGGTCAGGATACACATACCAATTTCTTTCCAGTTCTTGCAAGATGTGTTCCAGAATGTGAAGTTATTCAGACACTTTTATTTTCAATTGAACATTTGTTTCAAAGTTGAATTTAGTTCAACACGAAACTTTCCAAAACATTTTCAACATCAACAAGGAAGATATCAAAAGACCCTGAAAACAGCAATACAGTGTCTTTCCCCCCGCCCCCCAGATAAAAAAGGCATATGGGTGTATTCATATATCGTAAAATTAGAATTGAACCAAATGACATTTGCTAGTGCAAAACTCAATAAAATGTGACAGCAGCAAAGAACAGATTTTAAATTATATCTTAATAGGTTCTATTTATTTATTTTAAAGCCTATAGTCTGTAATATTGGTTTGGGGTTTCTTTTAATGGAATTCTACAAATGTAATCGACTAGTTAAAGTTATCTTACCAAGGAAAATGAGATTTTACTTTGCCAAAAAAATGACTGCACTTCAGCCTCATGCTCTGATCAGGCTCTTGTCTCTCGTGTGAGATGAGTGGGAATGTTTCTGGACCAGTTCATCAGGAGCTTTCTGACTCTCTTGTCCTTATTCTGCCTTGTTCCTACAGTAGAGTGCATGCACTGCAGTGGAGAAAACTACCGTGGAGTAGTTGCAACAACAACGTCTGGGCTTGAGTGCCAGCGCTGGGACTCCCAGGAACCTCACTCCCATGGATACCTCCCAGAAAAGTGAGTCAGGTTCTGTGATGGTATCACCAGTGGTGGGCTGAAGACCACCCTGTACCAGACAGGATAATTGTTACAGCTATTAGCATATTTTAAAATCTTATTTTTCTGTTCAGTTTTCCAGAGAAGGATCTGAAGAATAATTATTGTCGTAATCCTGATGGAGAACCTCGGCCCTGGTGTTTCACTACCAGTCCAACTAAACGCTGGGAATATTGTGACATTCCTCGTTGCAGTGAGTCTGGCTTCTAGGTTTCTTCCAGTCAGAGTGGTGTGAGAATCTAGGACAAACAGAAGAGGTCCCAAAGATAAAGAAAAGTATAAAAGACAGCTGAATTTTATCTCAAAGAAAAAAATCAATCACTTTAAAATGAACTTCTGATGGCTTTATTGAGGCTAGACATTTCATAGGCATATCATAGTCATTTCTAATGGTTTTGTCTGGAGCACATCTCCCTTCCTTGATGTGTTTTCCTATAACCAAGAATTTCTGGTGTTTATTCTGATGTTCCTCTTTTGATACCAAGAAATTTCACTCTTCCTGAAAATACTTTGGCTTTTGTTTTGCTCTTCCAAATGAATTCTCCACCTTTTCAGTTTTCTTTTCCCCTAAAGGTCTGTCCTTGCCATTATACTTTTCCTTGGGACTTCTCACTAGACCTCAACCTTGCTGTCTCTCACCAGTATGTCTATTTTACACATGCACCTGTCTGTATCACTGATGGACTAGACACTTTCACCCCAGTTTTCTTCACAGTATTACCACTTGCTCACTTTCCAGATCTGTTCTGATGAGGCTGCTAGCATTTTCATATCCTGACTTTTATATCCTGGATTGTATTCTGGCTGCTGTAAAGGGGCAGATGCAAATGATCTTCTGGCAGCCGGATTGCTTGTGAAAACTCATAATGGGAGAAAGAAAAGTTAAGAAAGATATCTTTAGATCTTTTATCTGGCTTTCAGACTTTTCAAATATTTTGATATTTAGAACTTACCTGCAAAGAAATCAAATAAAAAGCCCACCTAATTATAAAGACCAGAGTCGTTTGTTGGTTTAGTTTTTTACTATATCTAGAAGGCAGTGATTAATTTCAGTTCCTTTTTCTGTAACAGCAACACCCCCACCACCTCCTGCACCAGGACGGCAGTGTCTCTCAGGAAGAGGAGAAGACTATCGAGGCACAGTATCTGTTACTGAGTCAGGAAATACCTGTCAGCACTGGAGCTCTCAGTCTCCCCACAGACACGCTCGCACTCCTGAAAACTATCCCTGCCAGTAAGTGAAACCCCTCTGTTATTGAGTGTCCATGAGAAATACCAAGTCTCAAAGTTAATCCAGTTTTGTTCATCTGTATTGCAAAGTTCTTCAGTTACACCAGCATTCATCACCTGCTGGATCTCATATTTTCAATTTTTTCATACATTTCTTTTTATTGACTTCTTTGTTCTTGAATGCAGGTGTCTTCTCTTCTGACTTTCACACTCTTCTTGGCTGACTTTTTCCCTCATTTAATCCTTTTACTGTATGGCTGCTCAGATGAAACCACGTGGAGTAAGAAGGGTACAGTTATGATATTTGCTTGGGGCTAGATTCTTTCACCCTAGATTCTCTCTGCTGTGCTACTCTTGACTTACAGTCTCTTCATTCATCCATCAGTCGTCCACATGGTTTAGCACATCCAAAACACCAGCGAATTGCAATTATTCATGTAACAAATAGCATCAGTGAATACAACATTAAACTAGGCAGCAAGAGAGTCTCCATTTGTTCATAACTTTTAATAGATTTCCAAAAGAGACTTTTATCAGTCAAGTTTTCTGTTCTAGGGGCCTAGATGAAAACTACTGCAGAAATCCTGATGGTGAGAAGAGGCCATGGTGTTACACCACCAACACAAGTGCCCGGTGGGAATATTGCAACATCCCCTCCTGTGATAGTACCAAGCCAGAGACCCCTGGTAAGAACAGAAGACAAGTGGAAGAGAAGGTTCATCATGGTTTATTTTGAAAAATCTCTCGTGACTCTGCTCAGCTGCATTGCTGCTGTCACTGTTGGCATTGCCATGTCTAGTTGAACTGCTGGGTCTGATGTGGAGCCCAGGCTGGTGTGTTCAGGCTGGTGGCTAAGTGCAGAAGGTTTTAAGTCAGCTGCTGTCTCAGATCAGGAAATTTTGCGTAAAAGAAGTCTTTTCATTTTGCCCAGTGATGGTTACCTCCACCAATATATTTTTAAACGCTCCATGGAAAAGTTAGTTAACTTTACATGCCAGTTCCTTAAAAACTGAATCTGTAGCAAAAACCTAAGATAACTTAGGAGCATTGAACCAAGACTCCATAGAAAATAATGAGAAGAAAACTCTCTTTACACAAGGTAGTCTTGTTTCACACATGGGTGTATGGCAAAGACACAGACAGCCCCCATCCTGAACAAATTTTGATCCATATGTTAACTATTTGGCTTGTTATCTGAAATAAATCCCCATGTGGGACCATAAAATTAAGTGCAAGTGCTTTTAATCTAGCATATAATGAAATTTTTGCAAGCCCTTTTGAAATCTTCCTTTTGATCTACTGTCTGAGAAGGATTCTGTTACAGAGAGCATGCTGTGGTAGTCAGTGAAGTACTTTGGCTTCTTGTTTTCTGTTGTCTTTCTATGCTCAAGTATAAATGTCAAGGTATTAAGATGCAAGAGATTGGTTTCTGTTATTCACTACAGCTGTTGATGTGCCTGAGCAGGCTGAAGTCACTGAGGAGTGCTATCAGGGCAATGGGGTGACTTACCGTGGCACAGCTTCTTTCACTCGCTCGGGAAAGAAGTGCCAAGCCTGGAGCTCCATGTCGCCTCACCGGCACAACAAAACGGCACAGAACTTCCCAAACGCGTACGTGCATCTCCCATTTCCAGGTTTCACTGGGCAGTGGTATTCATGAGCTTGTTTTGATTTGCATCATCATTGCACAACAATGATTATAAAGCTGGGAAGGGAGTGTACTAGATAAAAATAATACTTTCCTTTTCTTCTTCTTTTATCATGGAAGCGTTTTTTTATTAACTTCATCTTGAAAGAAACCACAGGTGTCACTATTATACTTTAGACTAATTAACTGTGTGTTTCTACATTGCTTCTAAGACAATTAATAGTTGTAATAAATTTTCCCTTATGCTGAAATGAGCTGTTTCTATGCATTAATTTATTCATGAGTTCGTCTTTGCTTCCTAGTCTGCAAGTCATTAAAACTTGGAAGAAGGAATAGATTTTTTCTTTTTCCTAATATTTATCACTTATTTTTTCCAAAATGCAAAAAAACTATTCTTTTTGAAAAACTATTGCCATATTTGAAAAAAAAATAAAATCAATTATATCTTTGCTATACATGTATGCATTTACTTATATGGATTTTTAAATTATATTCTACTTTAAGTGCTAATGAGTGAATAAGTATTTGGCATATTTAAATATTTAATGCATGTGTCCTGATTTCTTTCTGCTGTAAAAACAATTTCAACTGGCCATGACAGAATGTACATGATAAATGGCATACGCTAACTCCGAAGCAGATCTGCTGTCTAAAATGTTCTTTTGAGCTCTCCCCAGGGCAGTGGCATGGATAGGAATATAATATTTTTGCATTTGTAGGGGCCTGAGCCAAAATTACTGCAGAAACCCGGATGCCGACAGCCGTCCATGGTGCTACACCACCGACCCCAGAGTGAGGTGGGAGTATTGTGACCTGAAGAAGTGTGATGACCAGGGACCACAGACTGTACCTAAGCCTCCTCAGACAACACCAGAAACAAACCCTGGTGAGAATACTTACAGCTTCCCCCAAAGGGCTCATAAACCAGGAAGCTGGTTTTTATGGAAACACCTTAATGAATTTAATGAGGCTGAAATAGAGAATTTAATACAGTATTGTATCCACGCTCTTAATTTTCTGAACATTTCTGTAGAATTTTATAGCAGAGTTTTTTAGATTATATTTTAGGCTAACGTCACATCTTTTACCTGCTACTTCTGGCAATATTGGAAACAAGAGGAAGCAGGTGGTTACTAGTCTCCTCACTACTGTGGGAAGGCAACTAGCAATGACAGAAAACAGAGCAGTGATGGCATTTTTGTGGCACCTGCTCCAAAAAGTCTTTTCCTGTGCCATGCTTTCACATTTCTAAGGTTCCACTTATCATCAGAGGACAGCTGGCTTTTTTTGATTCAGTTCAGATGCAACTCTGTTATGCAGTAGATGGTTAGAGTACTGCAGCTTTCTTTTTAAATTTTTTTTTTTTTTGCTATTACATGTTTCACTGGTTAGAAGGTTGATCATTTGGGCTGAATATGTGTTACTGCATTTTACCTACTGTAAAATGTGGCACTGGACAGATATCAGTGTCTGCAAGGAAAATACTTTATGAGTCTTTGTGGTCCTGATTTCTGGAGTCTTGAAGGATTGACTGAATGTAAGTATCTGGAAGGAAAATACTTTATGAGTGCATGGTCTTTGTAGTCCTGATTTCTGGAGTCTTGAAGGATTGACTGAATGTAAGGTTCTTTTATTTATTACTAAAGATGCAAGGAAATTAAAATGTCATTGTTAGTCATCCTTGACTCTACGTAGCCCTTCTTGCCTCATCTGCACAATATGTAGGATGTGTAAATTGTAGTAGTATTTCCTCAAATTTATCTCTGCTTCACCACCATCAAGTATGGACGTGGCCCAACAGCTCACAGCTGACAACCATTTCCTTTCCTTCATTTTTCACAGAGTGCATTGTTGAAAATGGTATAGACTACCGTGGCACAGTGGCAAAAACTGCAAGGGGCAGGACTTGTCAAGAGTGGAGTTCTCAGAGACCTCACAGCCATGACTATTTCACTCCCACAACTCATCCAAGAGCAGGCCTGGAAAAAAATGTAAACAACTGTTCATTTAATACTTGTTGTCATTGAGCTTTGCCTGTCTTTTTCAGGGTCCTTCAGCGAGCATTTGGTGACAGGTGTTTGTTACTTTCTTTTCCTCAGTTCAATCCAAAAACCTGATCATGATAATTCTTGCTGACATGACCAGTGTGGTCATTGTGGGACACAGAGATGCCCAGAAGCTCTCCTGAATGCTTCTGCAGCACATTCAGGGGGCTCCAGATGGGCACTAGCTTCTCCTCGCTACTGAGCACCAACCAGAGTTGGTTTGTGGGCAGTGTCTCTGTCTCCTCTGACAGAAAGAACACCTGGGCTCATAGGTTTCAGCAGTACCAGGGACAGGTGACGTGGTGATGAATCCAATGTTTGGTGCAAGTTCCTTGAGATACGTAGCTGATGGATTGTAGCCCCTCCATGCCCCAGTAATTCCCCTTCAGCCCTCCAGCTTCTGCCACAACCCTTTATTCAGGGCTATATGTGTACCTGACCACCATGGAAGGCAATCTCCCTTTCTAACCTTCATCTCCCTAGTCCTAACAAATGTACTCAGCACCAGTCCTTTAGACTTGTAACATCCCATTTACAGTGTTTGCCTGATTTGTGACAAGCTTTGTATGTGATGTAAAGAGCTTGTTTGATGTTGACAGCTTGAACTATTTTTTTACCAGGTAGATAACTTTAGAACTTAGTTTAGTCAATTCTTTGATGGCATCACATACTCTGTATTGAATTCCAGATGGGGGAAACTCCCTCTAAAAAGCTGCCTGTCATAAATTCTTGATTCCTGCATTTGTCACGTACTCTTGGTAGTAAATATTGTCTCCTTTTCTCTAAGACATGGGATATGTTTCAAGATAGGGAAGGGAGCTAGAAAAGATACCTGGTAGCATGCAGTTGTGTGAGGTGTCTGTGCTGAGTAGGGTTCAGTCAGCATGCCCAGGGAAAACCTAGAGAGTGATTCAGGTAACCAGCACCTGCATGAGGGGGAACACTGCAGCCCTGCCAGGCATCACCAGGTTGAGCAAGAGCAGCTTACACAACACTCACTTGTCCCTGAGTCATGCAGCCGGATGTGGAAAGACCTCAGGACTGATCCTACTGCTCCTATTAACTGCAGGGAAAGCAGGAGTAGATATTTTCTGTGCCTTAGAAAGCTTAATCCAAAGTAAAGATCTTCTAATTGTTGAAATCTCAGAGATCCAAGGTTGCCCTAGTGAAGCTTAATATCTGAAGACAGTTGAAGAAGTGTGATTTTTATTATTCTTTTCCAAACTCATAGAGCAAATGGAAAAATTAAATAAATTTTGACAAAAGGAATTGGAAATAATTTATAAGAATGGGAAATATCTTTTATTTCCAAACTTCATTTTATTTTGAAACTTTAGTTGGCCCTTTTATTTCCTGGTTAATAGCTGGTGCCTTTGTTCTTTATTACAGTATTGCAGGAATCCTGATGGAGATGTGAATGGACCTTGGTGCTACACAACAGACCCGAGAAAAGCCTGGGAGTACTGTGACATTCCCAAGTGCCGTAATTATTCCTTTAAAGACTATTATCTCCCTTTCCCTTAAACTCTAGTGTCTCTCTTTCCTGTACCTTTTTATAACAGTTGGAGAGTACTTGGTGTTTAGTCTGAAAGATTGATCTAAGTGCAATAGATACAGATTAGAAATTAAGGCTCTTGGGAAGTGGTGTTCTCAGGGTCTCTGTCTGAAGACTTAGGATTGATCTTCCTTGAAAGCCCCAAATGCACCACAAGCTATGGAGGCCACTGAAGCTCATGGGGGTTTGCCATGTGTTTCAAAATGGGCAGTTTCAGCAGAAATTTTCCCTGCCCCAGCCCAATCTCTTGTCATAACTCTGTGAGTGGCCTTGCTGAACAAGGCACACTCTTACACCAGCAAAATCTTTGCGCTCCCTGCTCATGTGGCTCTGCTTCTGTTCTGGATGACAACCAGATTGTCCCTCCTCTGATATTGTACCCTGTCTGGTGTCTGCAAAATGCATCTGACCCTAAATATTTAACAAAATGCCCTTTGTCTTTGTTAGTAGTAATCAAGCTCTGAATGAGGTGGTGCAACAAAGTGTACAATGATAAAGTTTGATAACATTTTGGCTTCCAGTTCTTTCATGTCTATCAACAACAAAAGCTATGCTAGGGAGGGAGGTAGCTCTCAAAAGAAGGGTGACTTTCTTGCTGCTTTATCCCCTCAGTGGTGAGCAGAAGAAAATGTGCTCAGATCAAAACCCAAAAATGGAGCAAAGAAGAAAATCTCTCAAAAGAAGGATGACTTTCTTGCTGCTTTATCCCCTCAGAAGAAAATGTGCTCAGATCAAAACCCAAAAATGGAGCAAAGAAGAAAAAGGAAATTGTTGTTGTAAACACACTGGACCTGTGAAAGTAGTACTGCAGTGAACATGTTGGGCTGGGACTCTTAAAGAAAAATAGTCACATTTTCACATCACTATTGTATTGTATTTTGATGATCCATTTCTTCTTTAAGTTATTACTGCTGGGTTTTTTTGTTGAGAAGGTAATCTAAGGAACAGAGGAAACATGGCTTTTTCCTTTAATTTCATTAGTTAGCTCTTTTTGCTGACAAAATTCTACCTTCTGTGTTGATAAGATTCAGTTCATCAAGGCCAAATAAGAACTACTTTTTTAATAACTCAGAGACATCTGAAGTGCCAAATGATCCTGAAATAAGAGTTGACAAAATTTTGTTCCTCAGAGACAGCATTAGAATTTCACGTGCTGTACCACCAAGATTAGTTTAAAACAAGTGCCACTGCAGCTTCTGCATTGCTGATGTCCATAAGAGACATTTAAGACTGTTGGAAGAATTTATTTCTTTTTTCACTCTCTTTTCTTCTCCTTCCCCTTCTGTTTTTGTTTTGGGTTTGTTTGGGTTGTTTTTTTTCTATCTGACTGTAGAACTACTCGAGTATAATTTGCTGGCCACTGAGAACTGTATGTAAAAAAAATTTACTAGGCATTTTTAGGTGTTCCAGATGAGGGTAACCTAACAAAATATATGTGATGTATGGTGTAGAATTACTTTAAGAGAATCAGAAGCTGAAGTAACAAATGTAACAGGTTCACCTTCTAGTTCACTGAGTTCATAGTGAATATATAGCAAATCTCTTAAGTTCCTTACAGTGATGTTTATTCCTTATTCTGAAGCTCCTCCTCAGTATGAATGTGGGAAATCCAAGTTCAGACCAAAACTGTGTGCTCAAAGGATTGTCGCAGGGTGTGTTTCACATCCACACTCCTGGCCCTGGCAGATCAGCCTCCGTACCAGGTATGGTTATTCCCCATTACAATGGACTTCACATGCAAGGAAACCTTGCCTCTCATACAATGTTACAGTAAGTGGTTCAGGCATTCTAAACTTAATTTTAAATTTAAAAATAGCTCAAGGCTATTGTGTGTGCTATTCTTAAAGAAGGTCATTCAGACAACCAAGAACACTCTATTTTGTGACAAATCAATTGTTAATTTCAAAACCACTTTCAGTAGAAGGCACAATGACTTCAAATCTGTCACTATAGTCTACAATAGAATCAGTTTCCAATGAATAAAAGCAACAGTATGGCTAGTACACCTCTTCATCAGTCCTTCCATGTAAATATTTGATCATACTGGCAAAATTATTAATAAAACTGGAATTAATAAAAATTGAATCAGGGCCATTTGCAGAGCTTTATAACTCTGATAAGAACTAGAAAAAGTCAAAATGTCACTGCACAAAAGGTTTTCCAGTAATAGAAACACTGACTAAGAATGAAGATCTAGGTGTTTTCATACAAGCCTCCTAAAAATGTCCACAGACTCTTACTGTCACTGAAAAAAGCATTATTCTAGGAAAACAAAACATTTCTTAATGAAATTGTGGAGTAATGTCTTTAGTTTGTAAAGGCACACATATTAGAAATATTACCTGATAAATTAAAGTAGGATTAACTTCCCCATCTTAAACCACTGCCCTTTTCTTGACATTTTGCTCTATTACAGTTATGGATTGCATTTCTGTGGGGGAACTCTGATAGATCCTCAATGGGTTCTTACTGCTGCCCACTGCTTAGAAAAGTAAGTATCTGTTATAGTCTCCACCAGCAACTGCTTAAATGAAATAGAAAGCAACAGGAGAAACAAGAGACCCAATAACCAATCCAAGCTGGTTGCAAACACCTTGCAAGCAGTTGAGAATTGAGCCAAGTCTATTTGTCATTCATTAAAGCGGAATTTTGACTGTAAAGCAGAGTGACAGTGATAACTCCTGCCAATTTGATTTCATGTGCCATTTTAAGGGATTAAGTTAACTCCAAAGCTGGCTGTCTGGCTTTGATAGAGCAAGGTGCTCAGTGACATTGTCAGTGGTCTCTGTTCTGGTTGTGTGTTCATCAGCTCATCATTTGCAATCATTTCCAATAGGTCCTCACGACCAGCTGCATATAAAGTATACCTCGGATTACACAAAGAAGCAGCAACAGAGCCATCAGTACAAATTCGTGATGTAGAGAAGTTGATCAAGGAGCCACGCAGAGCAGATATTGCTCTGCTCAAACTGAGCAGGTACCTTCTTACCTGAAGCACTCCTTTGTTCTGATGGGACAAGATGACTAAAAAGTGGTTGCTGGTGTTGTAAAAATGAGTGTTTCTGCATACTCTGTGTTCAGTTAGTAATTTGAGACCCCCTCTTTCTTCCCTTTCTGCAGAGGCTCCAGGGTTTCAGAAAGGGAAAGGCTGCCTTTGGGAGGGGAGGAGGGCTAGGGACAGTTAGCCAGGCTGGAAATGCACTGGGTGTCAGCTGCTGCAAGGTGAGGCAGTGGCAGCAGAATAGGGGGAGGTAATGCCAAGAGGAGCCTCCAGTCTGTGTTTCTACATGCTTGTACCTTGATAAGGTAATGATCACTGAAACCTGCAACATTAGCATGATGCCACTCCATGCTGTTTCCATGCTGTGGTGGGGAGATTTCCTCTTCCAGCAGGGCTGGCCAGTGGGCAGGCAAAGGGTTTGATGTAATGCCCGTTATGGCCCTTCTTGCATCCGTTTTCATTCATGGGAAATGCCCTCTGTGGAACTGTGCCACCCAAAGGAATTTGTCCATGCAGCTGCAAGCAGATGTGAGTGTCTGGTGCTTGGGCTTTCAGTGCTGTGGCTGCAGTGCATGTCTGAAACAGATGCAGGATCTGCTTAAAAATGTGGTCTTCTAAATGAGCTTTTGCTAGACCCAAAGGCAAGTCAGATGGACTTAGGTTCTGCTGTGTGCTAAGGGTCCTGACAGAAAGTGATTTCAAATCAGACTGGATGCAGAAAGAGCAAGCTAACACCTAGGTGTTAAATACCACTAAATTATACCTTTTGTAATCGTTCTGTGATTAGGTTCTGTTTGCTATGCATTAGCCTAAGTCAAAACATTCTCCTGGATTATTGCTGGGTTTTTTTTATGTCATTATCCATTTCAGACTTTTCTCTTGTGTGTATCACTTTCTGTGGATTTAGAGCCTAAAAAGCAATTTTGCATGTCAGAAAAAAACCTCAACTGAAACTAAGGATTTAAATAATAAAAGGCTAAATATTTATAAAAAATCTTTTTAGAAACCTGAATTAGAAACTACTATTAAGTATAATTGTGCTAATGATTTTTCCTCTTTGTTCATTTCAGACCAGCTGTCATTAATAATCATGTAATCCCAGTTTGTTTACCAAAAGAAAACTATGTGTTAGGAGGAAGAGAGGAGTGCTATGTGACAGGCTGGGGAGACACAAAAGGTGAGACAGCATTAACAGTCTGTTTGCAGACTGGTATATGCTTGTATCCAAAGTGTGCCCTCTCTTGTGGTGCACACAAGCTATTGATGAAAAACTTGTTTCATCAAAATTCATCAGGTGCTGCCAAACTTCCCACTGTCTCTCTCTGACACTGTTTCTCCTAAATCATTCAATGCCATGTAAACTGAAACCCTCTAAATAGATGCTACAAGAGGAGAAGCAGAGCTAAGGAGTCACTTCTCTCTCAGTCTATATGCTTTTCCCCAAACTGGGCTTTTGCCCAATTGGATGAAAAGTTTTTTCCAGATTTAAGTTATTTCTTAATCACATAAATGTGACTTTTCTCATTATCTTGAGTGATTCTTCCTCCCAGCCAGGCTGGTTCACATCTCACACAAATAAAACCCTCATTTTCAAAACCTCTCACTCTGTCTTGGTTCAGAAGTGCATTGGTACCTTCTCTGCCTCCTTGCCCATCATGCCATTTTCTACTGTTTGCTTCCTACCTAATTTCTGCCACACAAAATTCAGATATAGACAAATAAATGGCTTGGGAATGACTCCCAAGTTCTGTGGGTACTGGATCCACATGGATGTACTGTGAGAACAGGAAGTTCAATGGCGGGTGGTAGAAGGTGATAAGTATACCATAATACTGATAATGCTTACTGATTTTGGTATATCTTCATATTGGGCCTGGGAAGTGTATACCCAGTGAACACTATGCTGATTTTACTGCTTATCCATATCCTGATATTTCTGTGTTGTGAATATGATAATTACCTTTGTCATTCATTCTTTTTTTCATTTCATTTTTATTTGCAAAGGTACTTCTGGTCGGGGCTACTTAAAGGAAACTGGCTTTCCTGTAATCGAGAATAAAATATGCAACCGCCCTGAATTTTTGAATGGTAGAGTTAAAAAGCATGAACTCTGTGCTGGGAATATTCATGGTGGCACAGATACTTGCCAGGTAAGAAAGTCTGTCAGCATGAGAGTCAGTTGTAAGCACATTCAGATCAAATAGGGCATTGCTTTTTGGGCTTTAGAGGCCCAGAATTATCCTCTGGATGTTACCACACCATGTTTATCTGAGCTGAAAAATGCCCATATGTTCTCTTTCCTTGCTCCCTTGTCTGCTGCTGGGAAGTGGGGCAATTTTTCAGATGAGCCTGAACTCCAGAGCACATGGTAACACACAGCTGCACAAGTCAGGTGTGTGGAAGCCAACTTAGAATGACAAAAGCTCTGATCTTCTTTCCCCAGGCCCCCCTGCTAGCCTCAACCAGATTACCTCCAATGTCCAAGCTAGCTCAGTTAACAGCATCTCAGTCAGCAGTCGAGGAAGGATGCAGTGGAGCCTGCCATGCAGGCTAAGCAAGGGCCAAAGGAACTATGAACTTCCAAGTATCAGTGCCATTGGATCATCTAGTAACAACAGAAACCCATGGAGACCTCAGAAAAGAGACTGAGGGAGGGAGCACAGTTTAAGTTAACAGGGGCGATCAGATTCTTTTTCAATAAATCCCCTTACTTCAGAAATAAATGTAATGCCTAGGTGACATGAAGAGGTCTTCTGTTATAAAAGTGTTCAACAACATGTATAGAAAACTCGTACCTTGCTAGAATTCCAATGTTTCCTTATAATTCTTGTGTCCTTTGCATGTTGGAGGTACTTCTATTTCTGTGCCTCCTGTGGGGAGACCACATGGGTCTGTCCAAGAAGGAATAATCCTGTTCTTTTGCTGTTTAGGGGGACAGTGGAGGACCTCTAGTGTGTCTGGACCAAGATAAATTTGTCCAACATGGAGTCACCTCTTGGGGCCTTGGCTGTGCCCAGCCCATGAAACCTGGTGTTTATGTTCGAGTCTCCAACTATATTACTTGGATTAAGAGTGTGATGGAAAACAACTGATCCTGGGTATGGACTGCCCTCTCCTGGACAGCAGCATGCACGGCAGAAATACAAGATTCCAAGTGCAATATTAAAGCTACAATCATTCATTTAAAAAAGTCAAATAAATATGATCATCCATTTTAAATTGCTATAAATTAGTAGTCATTACCAAGAAGCCCAGCTGACAGTCTGTTACCCTCTTTCTATATGTTATATAGTTTGTTTGCTATGTCTGACAATAGACTTGCCCACCTCTGAAATGCATGTTGAAAATTCCAACCTTAACTGTAACTGGACACCTGCATTTTAATTTTTTTTTTAGCTCTGCCATGATATTTTCTTTTAAGGTCATCATTTTCAAGATGTTCTACTTCTAACATATGAAGAAATGTGATACTTTTTTTTTTTCTATGAGTTGTCTGTACCTATTATCAATTTGATGTTACAAACCAAAGAAAAATCTCATAGTACATCTTATATGCCTGTGAAGTTTTATTAGATATATCTGATAGCATTAAATACATGGGATGGGGGAAAAAAAAAAGGAAGGAAACACATTTGGTTTGTGTTTTCATATTTTTTATCATTGTGGAAATACATGTGTCGCAAAAGTATAAATGTTGTATCAAAGATATAAACCAGTAAATAAAAAACCAGCCTCACCCTGAACTTAGTCCAAAGAAAAGAAAACAGCTATCAATAGGTACCACAAATAGTGACAATGCATCTACATATTATAAAATTGTGTTGTCTATAGTATCAATTTATGTGGTTATAGGGAGTGTAAGCTTATACATTTCAAAATTATTTCCAGGGGAAGCTTGACTGATACTTGCCAAAGTGAAACAATTGCTGACTATGAACTGCCTCTCTGGAAGATAAAGCAGGGAGCTTCCCACAGGCATCTGGAGCCCCCCAGCTCTGCACACGCTCCTTCTGGCATCCCCAGGATGTGCTGAGGCTGTTCCAAGTAACACAGCTTCTTCCTGGGGTGGAATTTGTCCTGTCCATTTTCCGCACTCCCAGACAAGCCAAACTGCATATCATTTTAAAATTTACTTTATTTTTTTGTAAGCTTGCACATGCGGAAGGGATGTGTTGCATCCTAGGAGTTTTGTTGTTTGGTTGTTTTTTTCTCCCAGTGCCTTAAAGGGAGATGAGAACTATTAAGCGTATTTAGGTAACAGGGTGATTTCTGAAGCTTCCAGATCTGGAGTCTGATTCTGGGAGATGAAATCATCTCAGGGCATTGCCTTCCTGCGGGGTGATTTCTGAAGCTTCTACATCTAGAGTCTGATTCTGGGAGATGAAATCATCTCAGGGCATTGCCTTCCTGAGCAGGAGCAGCTCTGATAAAGCACACACCACCCACCTGTCTGGTCAGAGGGATCCACTGAGCACAAATACCTTCCTGCATATTTTCCATATATATCCACTTTGATAATTAAGCCAGCCAAGAGATTTGTGCAGTTCTTCCCTGACAACAGAAATTCTGTGTTGCAGCTTGGACTTCATTTTGTTAAGTTCAGATGTGGACTCTTGAAGGCATATTTAATACCTGGCTTATAGACAGAGAAACCATTGGCCCTGTTCTCCTTGCCAAGCTGGCTAGGAATGCCTGAATATACCTGAGGGGCCACAGAAGTCCCACCTCATAACACTTCAAAAAGTGCCAGTTGTGATCATTTCCTTCTGCAAGACTGCCAGGGCAATAAAAAATGCCACTTTTTGTGGTAACCATTTGCACAGACTGGATAAAGTAACCCAGCACGTGTGGTGGCAATGGCACATTTGACCCAAAATAGCACTTCCATCTGTTTGTTGGTCCAAGAAACCTCTTTGCCAACAGGAAAACCACAGTTGGCTTTCTGAGGTCACATTGTTTGTGTGCCTGTGGTGATGGTATGGTGACCCTTTGTCTCTTGTGTACCCCACTTCTGTCACTGTGCCTCTGGAGGACACACGTGCAGGACAATTATAGCTGAGAGAGTTCAGGCCCTCATTGAAGAGGTGCCTCTTACTGAGTGAGGTGGGTCACAACACCCATTTTAGTGTCAACATGTGCATCTTAGGAGAACACTGCTGTGCCTCCTGAGAAGCTTGTAGGACTTTCCTGTAAATATTAAGCAGGCACATATGAATTTAGAATAACTTTTTTTTTAAACAAACAGCCTGTCCTGTGGTCTGCATGCCCACATGCATCCACCTCCATGCAGCTGGTTTTGCTTGGGCTTCTCCCTCACTGAAGCTCATCCTCTGGTACCTCCACCTCATCTGTCATCTCTTGCCCACAAGAGTGTAACCCCACCATTACCAGACCACTGGTCATGCACCACGTTACACACCCACTACACCTTCAGGAGGCAACACAAAGTCTCACAGAGATGGAAGGATTTTTCAATTTACAAAATCCCTTTTAGGGATAAGAGTTAGCACAAAAGCAATGACCAAATACAAACTCCACCTGAAGTTGCTTAGCACTACTAGATTAGAAGTCAAAACATATGCATAGGCTTTTTTCTGCTGTCCTTTACAAAACAAATTTTTAAGAAATAAATATATTCCAACTTCTGACACTGCCCCAAGCCATTTTACCTACTGAAATTTATCACTTGCATTATCTTTTGAGCAACACATGCAAAACAAAGCATGATCTGAAAGGAGGAAACAAGTCTTTGCATCTCTCATTTCTCAACATGTTTTAGTTGTCCACAAACTGAAGAAGCTGTCAAATATTATTCACATTTATTTGGAAAGTGGTACCTTTAAAAGATCTCTGCAATCTTTCTCAAGCTTCTAAAGCGCTTAAGACACCAATTAAAAAAAAAATCACAAAGAAAAAACAATAAATGGAAGAGGGTGGTTCAGCTCATCCAGCATCACATGTGATCACTTCACCCTGGTTCTCCAAGGTGCCTTCAAGGTGGGGCTGGCCGAGCTGACTTTTGGGCTGGGGGCCTGCAGTGAGACACAGTATCTGGCCCGTGCAAGCCCAGAGCTTCCAGTTCAGGGCTGGTGTCTGCCAGCCTGCCTTGGCCTATTGCCCTCAGCTATCTACAGAAGATTGTATTGGTCTAGGAGAAGTTTTCTCCTTGTAGCAGTAGCTCCACTTTTGTGAGGTGTCTTCTAGATTAGCTGTATACATTGTGAGATGTTAATTTCGTTTCATATCTCTAAGTCATTACTGACTTTTGCTAAGCATACCTTTGACCTCTACTGTGCCTCAAAGTTAGAAACAGCCTTGAAAGACAGGCCTTTATCACTAACTGCCTAAAGTGTGCAAACATTAGGCTGGGATTATTATTAAAGGTCCTGTTTTCCTCCAGAAGGGCTGGCGGTAAAGGCAGTTGCTGGGAAAAGGCAGGGAGAGTTGGGAATTGCTGAAAAACACAGCATATTCTTCACTATTGGAAATCCTGCTGGGCTCCTAGGATGGTAAGACTGGAGCAGTGGTCATTAATTTTCACTGACTGTACCACAGTGCTACTGATTTGTGGTATGAACCTTCCAAACTCAGTCCTATATTTGTTTGTGCCAAACGGGTTGGGGTTTTTTTGTGAGCTTATAAGGTACTTTACAACATCTCACTGACTTGCTTTATTTATTTCTCTGTTGGTTACAGGATACCTTTTGAATGCCACATCTTTTCAAGTCCTTCCCTGCAAGGAGTGTATTGTTTATCAGTCAGTGGCCAGGACACAATTCTTGACAAAGGTCATACAGGAGAAAGGAAAGGCAGTCTGTCCCCGGAATCTGCTTACAGAGCCAGAGAGTTATTCTGTTGCATGTCAGCTTCAAAGGATCAATTAACACTTACTTCCCTTCATAACCAAAGCTCCTGGCTCATCCCTGCCCAAGACAGCTTAACATCTCTGTCAAGAACTCACAAAAATTGTCCCCAAGACAGAAAGATGACAAATAGTGATAATGAACAGAATGCAGAAATTGCAGGTCATCTTGGCAGTGGTAAGGATGAAGGAATTTGGTTTGTAGGGATGGGTAGAGAGCATAATTTGCAAAGGAAAAAATCAGCATGCTCTTGAAAGAGGTGTTTGAAAAAGCATTCAAGAGAGGAGAGCAGGCTGAAGCGGGTGTCACATGAACCCCAGCTGTGGCTGGGAAAGGCACTAATGGGCAGCAGGACAATCTGTCCTGCAGAGCTAATGCCCTGTGCAGGAATGGCACCTACATAAAGCCCTGGAAAGGTGAGGAAGACTGCTTCCACATTTCAGAAAGCCCTTGAACAAGGAGGGAAGAAGGGCTCTTATTGAAAAGGGTCCCTGTGGATGGCAATCAGACCAGAGAGAGGTTCTCGCAATGCACACTGCTGATTTCCATCCCTCTCAACCAGGGAAAGAGTCACCCTGATCAGTGCCTGCCTTCTTCAGCCATCATAACTTCTATTGGTCCAAATTCTTCAGGGGCACAGGAGGACAGGTTAACACAGTCATCCTCTCCTCCTCAAGGTCATCTAAACAAGCACTACCATTTAAATCCTTCCCACACAAATGTAAATCCTAACAAAACAATAAACAAAAGTCTCAAATAGATACAGAAATAAATACAAGGTCACTGAGCTGGACATTCCATATTTTTAAAGCTGTTCTGTTCTCTGTGGAAAACCACAGTCCCTTCTTGCAAACAGTGTACTCAGAAAAAAAAAAAAAGTATTTATTCCATATTAATAGAAAAATACACTACTTGTATTAAATGTCCTTGTGCATACAAGGAAAACATGAAGTTTAATCCATATTCTGCAGCAAATTTTGAAGCCGTGGCAGGTGGAGAACATATTCCCAGTATGGGAACAAAGTTTTAACTCAGTGCTGTCCTTCAAAAGTCAAATATAAGAGTTGGTGTCCCGGTGTCTCCGTTTCTTGCCACATTTTCCAAAATGACTGCTGAAACAGAAGGGGAGAGGAGTATAAGTGTGAAAAATCGGGAAAATATGTAGTTTAAATTGTAGTCCAAGCTGCAGTGCTGAAACTTTTTTTCCATAGAAAATTTCCTTTTTCTTTTGTTTGTACATTGAATCAGGCAAAAGTCGTTAATGTAATATTCAAAGCCTCTCCTTGAAACTCATTTATAGCACTAGGCACCTCAAATTATTTAGCCAAGGTGCAAATATTCCCTACTTATCTGCAGGGCAGTGTGGCTTGCTCTGTGCCAGGAGTGGGAAAGCTGTGCCTACAGCTCTTCAGCTATAAATCCATCTCATATGTGATTTTTAAATGACTTCACAAATTGTGGGATTGCATCCATGATAATGGGCCCTCCTTCACAGGATGTTTTGACTGAGGTAATGGTTGGTTTTCTCAAGCAGAGAGTTACAGGCTATGCTTTGCAGCAGCTCTCTTGTGCACTGTTGCTTTTTGCTTCCAGAGATGCATAGGACAGCTTTGTGTCTCTATGAGAAAAATACAGGTTTTACCACCATACATTTTTTAATGGCTTTCCTTAGGGATATTGCAAAGTTCAGGTTTCTGTTGAGAAAAATACCACCTGCTCATAGCATCAACCCAACTAGGGAATTTACTTTGACACTGGGAAATGTCAATATTTTATGACAGTATGGAGGAGAACATCCTCAGGAAACCTCACCCAAGTATAAGTAAGAAAATACATCTCATACCTTGGAAGCTGCTCCACATCCTCCACAGTCTCTG